GGAGGAGAAGGAGCGGAGAAGGTGAGAGAGATCGAATGAGAGACGGTCCCACGAGGAGCGAGTAGGGGTCAAGGAGAGAGGAGCAGTGAGAGAGGAGGGGAGAAGGTGAATGAGTAGCGGGGAGGAAGGAGGAGTAGGGCAGGAGGGGAGAGGAGGAAGTGAATGGAGGAGGAGTAGGACGTAGGATCAACCTCTCACACTCTGGCTCATTTATCACTGTCTCAGCCCCTCCGCTCCCTGCTTCCTCCCTCCTCCTCCGTCCTCCGTCCTCCTCCTCCTCCATGCCCCACTACTCCTCTTCATCAGCCTTCTTCCCCCTGCGCTCCTCCTCCTCTCTATGTCCTCCTTCCACATACCAGCAACACCCTTCTCCCTCCTCTTCCTCTCTTCTCCTCCTCCTCCTGCCTGCCTGTCTGCTACTCGCTACTCGGCTTTGCCTAGTTACTAGTTCCTTATTCGAATAAGGAACTGGGAACTGCTTTGCCTAGTTACTAGTTCCTTATTCGAATAAGGAACTGGGAACTGGGAGCTAACTTCACTGACCCAAAATTAGGAGCTATATCAAGCACACGTTTTCTCGTTCTCTTCTGTGTACGTCTAGCTGTAAATTCGGCTTGTTTTGCCTCAGTAAAGCTGCCTCTCGGAATTCCGAATTGAATAGTATTTAAAAACACGTTACAGAAAAGCATTGCTAAAACATGAACTGGCAGATACGTTGCGCAAATGGTGCGCTTACAGTTTTGACTTTGCTACTCGAGCCGATTAGGTAACCCAGAGGGGTCAATGTACGTAATCGAGTCGCCACTCGAGGCTGTGCAGTCGACAACACGTGCGTACAATTAAAATAGGAAGCCCCGTGCAAGATGGCAGTTTGGCGACGTTTCGCTGTTAAAATGTTTAGCTGAACACCTCTGTTGGTGCTGATGACCCCCGTGCTATAATCGGTGACTCGTCACAGATAGTTACAATGATGGGCCGGTGATTGCGGCTCGCCTATTTTCTTCAATTTTATCTCAAGTGCTTGTTACACCTAACCACGATTTTAATTTTGTCTACGTGTTAATCTATTAGAAAACTGAAATGCGGTTCCAGTGGAGGTTTTATTCAGTACAGGCGGCTCACACAGATTAATATATACTATGTCAGTAGTGAGATGAAGAGGTTCGTTGGCACGGGATGTACAGCCTTCCTCCAGGGGGGCGATTAGCTCATAGCAGACCTATTCTATTCATTTAACCCGAACTCGTATTGACATTAGTGGTCATTTAGAATTGATACAAATTCCGATACGATTAACGTATAGGCCTACATGAATCCACCGCCTTCATCGGAGGATATAGAAATTTCATAACTATCTTTATCATTTCCATCGCTCGTAAAACTGTTATATGCAAACATCTGGACAATAGCAAATTCAGTCAACGCTGGGTAATTTATACCGTATTAAAGAAAAATATTCGGCCGGCAGTACTGATATATCCCCCCCCCTCCCCCAGTCCGTCGTTCACCATGCATTATGTTAACGACCGGTTTGGTCGTGATAAAAATCTGGCTCAGAGTTTGCAGCGTGGCAGCTGTGCTTTCCTGCGCGTACAGAGAAGCCCGACTGTACCGAGCAACAGAAAGCGCCTCTTGTTTGTTTGCTTGACGGACCGGCTCGGCGCCTTGAAGGAAATAGCTTGCCGGCTATTTTAGGAAGTCGGCGATGAGGAGGAGCAGTAAACGAGAGCTGTCGTTGTGAATGACTAACCGCGAATGCATCGTGAATCTCGGCCTAAATTAATACTGTTGCCGTATATATATATATATATATATTGTGCATTGAGATGTAGGCAGCTGTTTCATCTTCTCAATGCTGGTGCTCGGTATCACATGTCACGAGTTATAGTTGCATTGCTTAGTTCGCCCAATGAACTACATTACAGATTTGTTCACATTGATCACTGTGATTTTATGGTTAACATTTTCTAAAAACGTGTTGTATTTTTGAGTGTATATCTGCATATTGTGAATCTGTATGGAAATCTGATTTCATACAAATTAGGCTTACAATGCTAGGTGAATGGTGAAGGTAGAGTCTTGAGCTAAGAACATTGTAGATTGATTAGGGGTAGGGAACGTTGGGTTTCCAACAATTAAGCCTTGCATACTCCTTTGTTTTATTCATTCCCGTTATTATGATAAATGTTAGTCATGTCTAATAATAAGAGCATTATCATTTATATTGAAATTATTTTCATATTTCTTCCACTGCCCCACACATTCCTGATGTTATTAATTATCAGATGTGTTTTGCAGGATGCAATTGACAATCTTACGAGAAATGGGTTCGTTGGCCTAGTAGGAAGGTAAGAATGACTTGCAAGTGAATGTCTTTGATATCACCATGCTCATCATCATGATCTAGCATGAAGCATATTCTCTAGTTGAATCTAATTGAACCCATTTCATTGTAATGATCAAAAAATAGTCACAATGCATAATTTTTAGTAAAAGTTTCATATGAGCAATATAGCAGTACAAGGTAGCAATAAATAATCAACCATTTTTAAAATAACAATATAGATTTTTGTTTTATATTTAGGCTAGCTAATAATTTATGATAAGCATTCATGCTTAAGTAATGCTTTTCATTGGTATTGGTAAAGAAACATAACACCTTATAGTATACAGGGTGCGAAATTAACACGAGTCTGGAGTCAAATACTCCCTGATTTTCTGTCGGACATTTGACCTAAAGAAAATCCTAATTTGACCTATGCATATATGTTGTCCGTTTGATTCTCTGAAAATTCTGCTATACTAACTAGTTCATTCCAGAGCACGGCCTCGCGGAATTGCCGTATTTTTTCAGCAAATGTCCAAAGACAATTTGGCAGACGTGCAACCACATGAATCATCAGAATAAGCACACTCGTTATTGTTAATATCTTTGGTTTTGAACTTCAGACTGCGGACTCCCTCATTTCGCAGCGGACCTCCTCTTTTTGAGGGCAGGGATTCCCTTGTTCAAAAGTTAATTTCTACCCCTGAGTATACATTTGACATAAGTGTCACAATGGACACATGAGTTGTGTATACTATTTATGGAACTATTATAAGTTGTTTTCTTGCAGGACTCCATTGATAAGACTTCCAACACTAAGTAGAGCAACAGGATGTGACATTGTTGTAAAGTGCGAGTTTGCCAATGGAGGAGGGTCAGTTAAAGACAGAGCTGCCCTCTATCTTATTAAGGATGCAATAAAAAATGGTAATTAAATTATACGTTTGCAGTATATCAAAATCTAATGTGTGTAACATTTACTTAGTGGCTAACAGAGATATATTTATGTAAAATTATAAGGAGAAACCTACAAGTACCAGTATCCTTTCATGGTAATAAGTACATTTTTAAATTTGACAGTTAGTGTTGTATTCATTACTTTTATGTTTAAACTATATTGTTATCATCATGCCAAGGTTCACTTAAACCTGGTGGAACAGTGGTTGAAGGAACAGCTGGGAACACAGGAATTGGCCTTGCTCACATCTGTAATGCTATGGGATTTAAGTGTGTCATCTATATGCCTGATAACCAGTCACAGGTAATTATGAATGAATTGTAAAGAAATTGGTGTGTTTGAACTTCTTCCTCTACATTCTTCTAGTCCTGTCTGCAGTCAATCATCACTTTCACTGTACTTTATATACCTTAAAATGGTGATAACTGTGTTTCAACTGTGATTTTACATTATTTGATCTAATAATCTCCCTAATTTACTTCCCTTAAATTGGTATTCGTTTTGCACATTGGAAACCAGTGTGTGATTGTGTTGCTGTTTAATTCTCTACCATATTATTATTGGTGCAACCATTTTGGTATAATTACACGTGGAGCAGTGTCTATATATTTCCCAGGCTTTTTCCATCATGATTATTTACACCGAATCTTTTTAGATGGTTGTTTGAGTAGCATTTGCGTAATAGATGAGAAGCTTTTATGTTGCATTTTCAGCTATAACGCACTGGTGGCAGCTATTTTTCTGTGTCTTACTAGGAGAAGATAGACCTGCTAAGAGTTCTTGGTGCAGATGTGAGAACACAGCCCGTTGTCCCATGGACTGACCCAGAAAACTTCAACCACCAAGTAATAACGCTGCTAGTCTGTAACTTAATATATGTGCTGTGAATAAAGCTCTTTGTTCGTAGATGTTATCAGGAGTAAATAATCACAAATTTGTGTGATTATTTACTCCTGATGTTATTGACATCTAATACATATTTGTAAATGCAGGGTGTGAAATTAACGGGAGTCCGGTGTCAAATACTCCCTGATTTACTGTCGGACTCTCTGATTTGACATATATGCAGGTGTCCGTGTGACTCCCTGGAAATTCTGCCATACTAACTATAGTTTGTTCCGAAGCACGGCCTCGCGGAATTACTGTATTTTTTCAGCTAATGTCAAAAGAAAATTTGGCAGACGTGCAACTGCATGAATCTTAAAAATTAGCACATGCGTTATTGTTAATATCTTTAATTTTGAACCTCAGACTGCGGACTCCCTCATTTTGCTGCGGACTCCCTCTTTTTGAGGGTAGGGAGTCCGTTGGACTCCCTTGTTGCCCCTGTGAATGTATGTCTGTTTGTCTGTTTTCAATGCAATTCACCATGGAGCAGTCTAGAAATGTCCAAGGACGTTCAGTCGGGGTAGCTTTTGATGCTTAAGGTCATGGGCACATTGGATTTGACCTCCGAGGTCATCTGAGGTTGCAGAAGGAGAAAAACGAGTAAAAAACGTTAAATGAACGGGCCCCTGCAGCAGCATTAAATAAACGGGCCCCTGCAACAACATTGTCCAAACAAGATTCACCTTGCACTGACTTGGTACAGCAGTAGATAGATAGATAGATAGATAGATAGATAGATAGATAGATAGATAGATAGATAGATAGATAGATCGATAGATAGATAGATAGATAGATAGATAGATATGCAGCAGCAGCAGCAGCAGCTAGAGCCGTCTCGTGCTGCGCAGCATCTGCCACAAGGTACCCGTATGTTATGCTACGAAGGAGGCGAACTGTCACAATCAAACAACCAAAACCAAGTTCCAGTCAAAACGCTGCTTCAGTGTGGACTAATTAAAACTTAGAATCCCCCCTTGCGTTCAACTTTGTCCTGCGACACGTATATATGTAGAATTTAACGCTCAATTAATTCGCGAAGAAATCGTTGTCGCTGAAAGTTCAGCAAAACGCGCCTGTATGCGCCATCAGCGATATCACGGCATCGGTGGCAGATGATGCCCTAGCTACCACCAGTTCACTCGCTGAAATTTTATCCAGTTCGACCGTATTCGATTCTACCGGTTTTCTATGAGAGTGCTGCGCTTTTTGTACCTTTTTTAACTTCGTATTGACTCGAGCCTAGACTAACATTTTCCTTGGCCTACTCCCGCCCTACCACATGGGTTGCAAGGCGGCACGGCTGCTGCTGTCTGTTGGGCAGTCCGCGAAACCTATTTACCTAGCGCGGTAGAGTTCATTGCTGCATGCCCAGCGGCTCTTTTCAAGCTTTTCTTCCGTTCTACGAACGAACGTTACTGCTGTCCAGCGAGTATTTAATACATACCTTAGAATAGAGAATGGCGATTGGGTTTCACGGGAAATTAAAGACATTAAAGACATGGCGCGACCGTGTGCGGTCCGCTTTGATGTTGATGAAGTAGACGTTGCGTGATCACATTATGATTTTGTACGCCGCGATGCTCGGTTGCTTTCGTAGTCCAGAGGTCCGTTGTCAGAAACATTGTAAAGTTAAAACTAATTTTGCCTCTGTACGCGCTATAGTTTGCTAGTCGTCGCGTTTTCTTACTAGGCGTGCAAATATATCTTTGGTCTCTGTGTAGTTCAACCCCGCCAACAGAGAAACAGACACACATGTTCAACACAAGATTTATTCCATTTTATTTTATATTTTACAAACACTTTAATAAGTCCTACGAGATTTTTAATCTTAACATTTGCGGTAATGCGCCTCTAAAAGGCCTCGATCGTGATATACTGTGTAAGATCTCTCCGCAATACTTATAGTTCTCTACTTCTGCAGTAGGCCTTATACGTTGGATATAAGCATGCTAAGCCGCGTGCTTCTATTACTAGTATTCACGTTAAACAAACACGCGCTTTACGAATACAGGAATAGAGGCATTTATAAAAACATGTGTGTACGGGTTAGATACAAAGGGGTCACTCGCCTCGATTGCAGGAGCAAGCGAAATAGACAAAATATATCGCTTGAACTGAAAATACCACACAAAGAAATCCATACCGGGAGCTTTGACCTTCCGTGGCGAAAACCATTACGTTGGTCTCACGTGATAGAGACGTGCCAGATTACTTGTCTTAGAGCCGACACACCTTAATTCATATCTTTCTGGTTTATTGGCTGTGAACAATGACTTGCCGTGTGTGACCGTAGTGATCATAGACACAAGGTCAGGTATGATCACTACGGTCATAAATTGTTTAATCAATCGCCATAGGTCCTTTGTATTTGGCCCAATGTGGCATAATATAATTTACGGATTAATCCGGTATTAATCTACGGATTAATCCGGTAAGATGATTACGAATTACATGTGAATGCAGAGTATGCGCCAACTGCCGCAATTTGATCAGAAGAAGATAAGACTCTCTAACACAGGTAATATATATATATATATATGCGCGTTATAAGTATTATCTTCTCTTGATTTTATCAAATTATGGATCTCTTATTACGCACATCTTATATCCACGTATATTTTGTTCCATTACTTGCGTCCATTAGCAGCCATTGCAAAATAAACGAAATATTATATTATGTCCTATGGGGGCAAATCTACGTCCACGACGATCGATATGGTCGTAGATGCATCAAGGATATCTTTCTACGAAAGCAAAGACATACCAGAGAACGAAGCAGTGCAGTAGTGCTGATAAACTGTTTACGCGTAGCCGCGGCATAATCTAACCGATATGCTAACATGCACATGTTGCGTTTAAATGTAGAGCATGCATGAGGGGGGAGTACGTTCGCCGCTGCCTGCGACTGCTCGCAGTACAGGGCAGGGAAACCCGCGCTATTACCGTCTTTCCGCTGGAAATACGAGGATAGCAAGAAGCAGAATGTAACACGGTACAGCTTCGTGAATTACGCTTGGATTAGCCCTACTTTTTCGAATACAGAAACAACATCAGTTACCAGCGGAGCAGCGCCGCAGAAGTGACATGATGGTATTGGCAGATTTGTAATGCTATTACTAGACCCGTATTCATGCTGGCCGTGGTGAAGCTTCCGTTGCGGAATATTATTCCAAGAATACAGCAGCTATGTGTCAAAACATGTTAGAAACCATGCAACGAGCGCGTGAGACAAGCTACGAGCGGTAGAATGGGCTAGCGAAATTGCGAACTCGCACCGATGCAAAAGACGACTTGCTATAGAGCAACGCACAAAAATATGCACATGGAAAACTCTGGCGGTAAGACGATATAATGTAGCAAAATAACCATCGCCGAACGTTAGTTAATTTGAAGATGTGTGACGGTCATTTCCGCGACTTGACGTCACAGTAGTAAGCCTACCTGAGTCGAATTACAATGCATAGCTTATTTTCAGCGCAAAACATTCTGCTAAAACAAGCGTTTTTATTAGTAATCCGTGTTAGTATCTCTCCAAACAACACCTAGACATGTTTACAAAAGTCACATCGATTTGTATATCTGCTGGGGTATATATTGAGAGAATATTATATATATATAAGCAGGAAGCGCAATCGTGTCACCGCCCATGCGCGGTATAACAAACCTTTGCATCGAATATATCGGTCGTCTTTTAACAAACAATTTTCGAAAAAATCAAACTGTAAAAACCGTGAACGTTAAGAAAAAGTCAGAGTGAAAAGGGCAGTTAGCGGCCAAGGCCATGAATGTCAAGTGGTCCTCTCTATTATGTATGTACATCATAGCAAGGCGTTATAGCAAGGTGTTAGCAAATATTAATAATACGCAGCGATTGTATGAAGGTGGCGGTTCTTCGCTTTAGTCGCTGTGCAACGTGATGAAACATTGATCCATACGCAATTACCTTTATGAAAAATGTCACATTGCTTAACCACATGATTGTGATTTCTAGGTGAACATGCGACCAAGCCAGTTATATCTTAAACTACATGCTTAAGATATACTTAAACAGTATCGCCAATAAATTTATAGCTGCCTATAAAAAAAAACTAACATCTGGTGTGCTTTAATACGATGTCGGTCAATGTATATGGGAATGCCCAATATAATTGAATATATAACATATATCACACAAACAAAACTCTATAACAACCTCGTAAAATCAAGTAGATCATGGGGAATGCATAATCATTTGTTATACAAGTAGTTGTCGACACGCTCACATGGTAATGCGTACAGAGCTTATGCCAACAAGATGACTTAGATATTGGACGCTCGTTGATTAAATGAATAATGATATGCCTTTCCCTACTATAACAACAGGTTTTGAGGTTTATTGCATGACCAGCCCAAGAAATTTTTTACGTGAGGGTTATCACCTAGGTAAAATTAATATCCGCGGATTTTATAGCTCGCTTTACACTAACGTAAGAGATGAACGATAAGTTGCATTGCGGAGTGAGCGGCTAAGCATCCGCGCTTAGTAAAAGATACGAACCTAAATCAGGATTCCTTTCGACTGTTGACAGAGCGGGTCCATCAAGGAGGACGCAGATATTGCTTTAAGCGCTTGTTAGTGACAGATGGTCGTCTCTCACACTCTCTGCCCGAAATCTGAGCGAGAATCAGAGTTCGTGGTGAAAAGTGAAAATGAACTAGAAAGATAACTATCTCGGAATCTTTCTCGAGGTCACTGACGGTGTTTGCTGTCAGCGTGCGACACGCCCTTCATTTTATGATATTTTCTCCTTTGCTGATGTCTCTCTCTGAAAGTATAAAATCTCACACATCATATTCGTTAGATTACATATAGGCTGTCCATTACCCCGGGTCTTGGTTGAGCTGCCGTCAGTTGCGTTACTCGGCAGTAGGCGCTCTCTATTTTTGAAGCATGCCGGACGCAATGTCACGAGATCGAAACTTTGATCTTCGTATAATATAATCCCGCCAAAACTCATCCAGGAGCTCTACTGGCAGCTAATCCGCGATCGCTACGACGTTGGCTAATCCTACTCGGTGGCGATTCACGAATGCACCACGGCCTGCTGCGGCGCCTGCTTTTGCTGAGGTGTCCCGGGAGGAGTAGTCGGCTGCTCCGACCGCCTTCTCCTCTGACAGAGCGACAGATCCGTCTGCACCTCCTTCTGGTGCAGTCGGATGTCGCGCTCGTTCAGGTCGCGCTTCTCCCCGAACACGATCACGTCCGTCTGCGTCTCTGCATCGCAACGCCTCCGTCTGGTCGGATCCTTCGGCTGCAGGTTGCAGTTGACTTCCTTATCGAGACACGAGTCCTCGTTGCTGATCTGCGTCGACTGGTCGCACGTCGCCGTCGGCGGCGTCTCCGTCTCGGCGTCAATCTGCCACACCTCGCGCTCGGCCGAGTTGTCCGACGACTCGCTGCCGCCCGTGCTCACCTCCTCGTCCTCATCGTCCTCGTACTTCTTCGGCTCGTCCTCGGGAAGCAGGAAGCGCACGACGCGTCGGCTCGTGTCCTCGAGGAAGCCGAGCGAGACGGAGCCCTGCACGAACATCGGCTGCTTCTTCGTCTGCGTCGGCACGTCGAGCACCTCCGTCTCGCACAGACTCGTCAGCTTCTCGTTGAGCTGCTTCTTCAGCAGCAGGAACTCGATCTCCTTGCCCTTGACGACGATATCGGCGAGGTTGACGGTGCTCTGCAGGTTGTCGAGCATGTCGCGCATCTCCGTCTTCGCGTTGACGAAGCGCATCGTGTCCTCGCCGAACATCTCGTGCAGCTTGGCGATGAGTGTGCGCTCCTGCGCCCTGATCGTCGACACGAACTGCTGTGCGACGTCGCAGATCTCGCGCTCGACGTCCGAGATCAGTTTCTCGCAGGTGCGCACCACCTCGAGGCCGTCGCGCAGCCGGCCGACCTTCGACTTGCAGTTGGTGACCATGTCGGCGATGCCGCTCCTGTGCTTGGCGACGCCCTCCTTGAAGGAGATCACCTCGTGATCGGCGTGCTCCTGGAAGGTGCACAGCACGCACACGCACGTCTCGCACTGTTCGCAGAAGAAGCGCACCGTCTCGTCGCTGTGCGTCTTGCACTCGATCTCCTTCTCCGACTCGATGTCGTAGACCGAGTGGCTCTTGGTGACTGCAGTGCGCCGGTGCTTGTCGACGCATTCGCTGCACAGCATCTTGTTGCAGTCGACGCACTTCGACTGCGCGTCGGTGACCTTCTTTTGCAGCATCTTGCAGATCTCGCAGTGCGGAAGCTGCGAGACGCGCTGTCGCTTGATCATCTCCGTCAGATTGGCGACGAGGAAGTTGTCCGGCAGGCGGCGTATGCCTCCGCTCGGTAGCGTCGTCGGCTTACGACATACCGGGCAGCTGAACTCTGTAAAGTTGCCGTACTTAAACGTGCGAATACCGTCCAGGTGGCCCTCGAGACATTTCGTGCAGAACGTGTGCAGGCAGTTGAGCGACTTCGGGTCGTTGAACGGCTCGAAACAGATCTTGCAGGTGAGAAACTCGGTGTCGATCTCCTCGACCAGATTCTTCGCCATGGTTTCTGGTCTTCCGCAGGTGAGTATGTCCATTGAATCCGATATGCTGTGCTCTACGGCGCGGTTCTAGAGTAGTCGTGCGATGCTCCGCTTATGCGAACTGAAGCATCTGAAGCGAATCCTATTGTCTCTTCGAAAATCTGCAAAATATCGGTATAATATGTCTATAAAATTGTATTATTATCAATATGAATGAACATGAATCAATGCTTGATCAAAACACAGCCGCGCTGCGTATCTTAGTATACACAACTTCTTTGTATAATTTTGTTAATTGATTTATGATTGCTCCGGCGATTCATATATAATAATTACGCCGACGATCGACCATATTCAACGGATGCTAATGCGTTAGAGATGCCATTGCGTTCGCAGATATGACTCTAAGCGAAATATGTACAAATTGTAACCAAATAGCAAATCAAATTCTACAGAATAACAAGCGTATAAATCGAATCCATGCTACAGAGGGCAAAACGCACTATATGGCGCCAGGCACTGTATTAACATCCAGCAAAACAACCTTCTCATTTATTCGTAAACAATATCTATACAGTAACAGCACTCCTGCGTTGAGTTCTAGGCGCAGCAGAGGCGTAGCAAAAACGCCGAAGGCAGAGCTATAGGCTAGAAAACCTTTAGACAAAAACTACATCAAGAAAGGGAAAACCTCGAATTCGTTTGAATCACAACCCGCAATGTCCGGATTAGTAAACAGACTAGCGGCATACTAGGCCGAGAATACTGCTTACTCACATTATAACATAAACAGCACGCAAATAAGGAACGTTTAAAAAGGGAAAGCAAATGATACAGTATTAACTACAGAATAAATTTAGACAGGACGGAATCTCAATGACTTACGTTATATTAAATTTTATGAATAAATTCACGCACTTTGACTGCAAAATTTAACACACCGGAAAATGGCGTTACAAATTGTTGACTAGAACAGGTCACGTCAGTCGGCTTGCAGGCAGGCGAGCAATTATGGCGTCAGTAGTTCCCGTTACCATGCAGTGCATGTTCCAACGCCACACAGGGCAAGATGTGAAGCACGGCGATTTAGTAATACGAGCAGCATGTTTTCTGTCGTGTAGCGCTACAAAATTTGGTTAGATTGTTAAACCGTTTCACGACTCAAACTCTTGTGGAAAAGGTGAAGCGCTCGCGTACAACGTCGCACATCTATCTAACAAAGCCATCGTGGAACATAGTAACTTAGTGAGAAAATGCAGGCAAATACTAGAGACATTGCCAACGAGGTCGTCCAATGGCGCAACGGTTTGGAGAGATTTTGCAAACCAACTCTGCACGAACCTTGTTCCAAATCTCGGTACTTT